ACGGCTAGTGCCACTTCGCCATGGGTGAAGGTTGTGGCACCGCTGAGTGACAGTTGACTATAGCCCGGCTCATCTTTCACTGCCACGCCAGTTACCAACTGTGCACAGGACAATGGCTAGCCTCTCGAGCTAGGATTTTCCACATAGCGCCAATGCACCGCATAGGACTTAGGTGCTGCCATCCTGAACTCATGGGGGCGGAACCCGGCTGGGAGGCGCACCTCTGACGAGACCCATAAGGTCCAAAAGCCCGGCGTCTGGTGCTTTTCTACACTAGCCTAAGCCTGCTGATTGGTAGTGGCGATGATGAATTAGCTGAAATCAACTGTTTTGTCAACTGCCATTGGAATGCCCTAGGTCATTGCCATCCGTGTGATTGTGGCTGAAGTCAACGGTGAGTGGAAACGCTATGATACCGGTAGGCAGATGGCCAATCGAACCCAACGCAGCATTTTGCGGAGTACCGAGCAAACGCAGGTTAGTCTGAAGGAAAGTAAGCATGTCATCGGAGGAGGATTGGTCAGCCAAAAACGAGTGGTCTGCGCGCCCAGGTTGAGCTCTGCGAGACGAGTAAAAAAACATCCATTGAGTGTGCAGGTGACCAATCACTGGTCAGCAGCTGCCAAATGTACAGGACCAATTCAGTCTTGCGAAAGAGCATATACCCGTGAGAAGCGGATTGCTTTACCAGGCCACGACTAGACTGTACTTATCGGAACCATGCTTTGCCGTGGCGCCGGGCCCAGGGAAGGAGGGTGTGACCTGATGGACGAGTGACCAACCGAGCCAATCGTACAATCCATCCAGAAAGTCAGCAACGCGGCGAGAGGTTATTGTTAGACTGAACGTCGCGAATAAGCGTAAACCGATGGGAATGGAGCCAGCGATATAAGGTAAATAACAAAGGTGAGCCAGTGGAGTGGACTCTTACAAATGGTGTATATACTTTATAAATATTTAAGTATAATATTAATAAAAGACTTCGTGATCGCGGTCGAGTCTTCTTGATTTAAGGAGGGCTACTCTATAATCTCCAAATCCCATAAAAATGTCATACTTGGTTGGAAGAGCGACGGATAAAATATATTCGGTCTGCTCAAATCTTGTGATTTCGCACTTCTGACTGGTGGCCTCTCTGAGACGAACAAAGTCGAGTAGAACAGGCGAACAATATCGAAGCTTTCGATACAAAGTCATAACACGTACATCCACATGACTTTCTTAAACTTCTAGACAGTGGTAAATTAGACCATGAAAATGCTCAACGGATGTATAGGAGGTACAAGCGGATTAGGTGAGCCGCATCTGTTGACGTGGTTACTTTGCCAGATACGCGAATGAGAACTGTAACTGTTCCATTTTGAGTACACTGCGTAGACAGGAACCAGGGAACGATAGGAATTGTTAGTTCTTTGCACCTGTACTTCATTCACTTCAAAGTTAGACTCGACATCAACCGATTTTGCTTAGTACTCATGAGAAATAAAGTTAAGTGGAAATTGGTCACAAAGATTCAGTCAGGAAATTGTCACAAGCCAGGAAAATCATTAAACGGCTGTTTCATGTTTAGGGGAATCGTCAGTACTGTGCATTTCTTCTGGCTCCTGTGGGGCTAGAACCATAACGCGACCGTAATCGATCGGTGATTTGGACGTCTGGGCCACGAAAAGTAGTACCCATCGACGTAACTAAGTTCCTAGTTACAGCCACATTCTCATCTCTGAAGATTGCAATCTACACGATCTGGAGGTTTCGGCATCGCCCAGTGAGCAGTTCAAAGCAGACTTGCATGAACTGATCGCTAATTTTCCCTTGTACAATCATGTCACCACGCCCACTAGATTCAGGACAGCAAACAAACCGTCCATATTGGATTTTGTGCTCACGAATGAAGAGCTCAAGGTTGACAAGTTATTGATGGCTAGTCCATTAGGTCTCCTTGACCATATAGTAATAACGTTCAACTATGCTTGTTATGCAGAATATCCATCTGAACACTCGGAACTCACATAACCACACGCTATCACGTATTGAAAGAATTCGCTGACGTAAATGCTTGGGAATTCTCAAACAGCAGTCCCATTGACAGCGTTTAGACAGAGTTCGTTAACAGACTCTGCGACATCGTCAACAGAGCATCAACGACCAAGCCCCTTCATCCCGCAGAAATGCCTTCAATTCTAAGGAGCAGAATTCGCAAATATCTGGCGATAAGGGATACAGCATAGCATGCCTACAAGATTAACCCCGACTCAGAGACTTGGGGCAATTTCTTGACCCATCGCAACCAGTGCACTGCACTTGTCCTTGAGGACAAAGTAACGTATCAACAGTACCTAGCCAAAAATTCATGACAAATAACAAACTGCTATATAGGCATGTCAATAATCTTCGTAAAGTGAAGCGTGCAATTCCTCCATATTTCACGACAGGCGCCGAAGAAGCAGCTAATGCCCTGCGGTTACAATACGCCCCAATTGTCGAACTCGCAGACTCTACCTGGCCCATAATGTCATGCACAATACAGACTCCACTGTTTACACATTTAATTTTCTACCCAGCAATTGTGCTAAGAAAGTTACCCTCACTGTGCGATCATAGCTCTCTGGAAGCTGACAATATCCGCCCGAAGGCACTGAAGGCTTTGGCCAAGCAGCTAGGTGAACCACTGTCAAAATTTTTCCAAAGGTGCTTTGATGAACAACTAGTCCCCACTATGTGGAAGCGTGGCATTATCACCCCAATTTTTAAAGGCAGTATCCGTTCAGATCCTGCAAACTATCGCCCAATGACTCTCCTCCCTGTGCTCGCGAAGATGATGGAAGCGGTCGTCCCTGAAACTTTAATGGACTACCTGGAACTACCTGGACTACCTGGTACCGGAGCAGCATGGCTTCCGTCAAAAGCTGTCATACAACACCAACCTACTGATTGCACGAGGTAGTTGGACGGAAGTGGCTGTTGATGGGGTCGGAGTTGACGTCATTAATCTGAACTTCTCCAAAGATTTCGACCGCCTGGATCACCGCGTCCTATTTCACCGGCTACAGAGCTGCAGAATCGGAGATCCTGTACTTAGTTGGATTGACAAATTGATACCCCAACGGAAGCTTCAAGTACGTGTTAGGGGATTACTCTCTAACCCAACTGAGGTAGAATGTGATGTCCCACAATGCTCAGTGCTAAGACCGCGCTTACTCCTAGTGTTTATCAACGATCTGGCAAGAGTTATGTCCCCCAATTTCATGCTTTTAGCCGATGACGTCAAGACATGGCGGACGATTAGTAACAATGTAGGTCACGATCCATTTCAACATGATCTATATTGCATTTACGAATGGTCTAACTGGAACCTGCACCAGTTGAAAATAGCTAAGTGCAAGGTGATCCATCTGCGTCACCAGCCGGTGACAGCTTACATCTTTGCAGACCACACTTTGCACAAGGTCTCTCAGGAGCGTGCACTGGATGTATTGGTACAGGAAGATCTCGAGGGTTGAAAACAGACAGAGAAGGTGAGGAGAACCGGCAAGCAACGCTTCAGCTTGCTTCGCAGAGCCTTCGGTCGGTTTGAACCCTCAGTCTTTCCCCAAATGTTTAATGCCTACATGCGACCGCACGTGGAATATGCTATTCAGGCGTGGCAGCCGTGGCAGAAACAGGATGTCTTTGCTCTCGAGACTCCTCAACGAAGGGCAAACAAACATGTCAGGGGCCTCTTTCATCTGCTCTATCAGCTTAGACTGAAACCTCTAAGAATGTACAGCAGTCGATATCGGATTTTGCTGGGGTATCTCATAATGGTTTACCAGATTCTGAAGAACCCAAACCACATTTGCCGCCCGCTGCTAGAATTGAACCACAACACTAACCTAAGAGGTCACCCTCTGAAACTAACAATTCATTATAGCCGGCTTGAATGCCGTAGAAATTTCTTTTCCCTCCGCAAACGCCAGCCTTCGAAGGCCCTCCCTAAGTATGTCGTCTCTGCACCCAATCTGGCGCTATGTATAAAACGAGTTGACGATGCGTTGTCCCATTTTTATTTCATTTTATGACTTGTTAGCCAGGGGCTACAAAACGCCAACAGTGTCCTACCAAACTCCCATCCAAAGGATTTATGGATTTAAGCGTTTAATACGCGAACATCTCCGCTATTCTACATAAGTCTATGGTGGGTCCACCAAAACGCTTTTCACTTTATCATGCAATTTACTTTTCGCAATAATGTCCATCCCACGGGACTTGTTAAGCAATGCTTATTTACCCGCAGTAAACAACTGTTCCATTACTGACCATACTGGCAAGGATGGAACGGGTGTATGATGCTTTTCCGGGCGTGCTGGTTGTCTGGTTGCGCATAGATGTAAGGAGGTTCTACTTATATCATTTACATTTCCATACTACTCCCTTGTAACAACTGAAATTCCAGGTTAAGGACCTATGCTGGTTGGCTTGCTCTGTATGGTCTGAACTACACTGAGATCTTTCTCTAGGTGCAGCATCAGGAACGAACAACACAAAGCCATTTATCGGGAAGGTGCCAGACGCCTCCTTGTAAACAAACTCGGAGACGTTTCTTTATCTCCTGACTGAACCGCATGTGTAACATTTAGATGGACGCCAGCGAGAGTTGTGTAATATGCATCATCTTTCACTGTTTGACCGCTTTAATAAAAACGCACCAATACTCAAATTTAGTACACATTACTCCATACATAAAGACTCCACATGCGGAAATGAGTACACAAGCCACACTCACAGTTCTGTGGTTTACGATCAACCACACCGGCAGTTGCAGCCTCGTTACACTTGCCCTGAGTGAAAACTCAACAGTGCCGTACCAGATGGATAGAATCAACTTCGGAGGCACCAACTTCTACTTTACCCGAACGTTAATCCTATGCCAAACACCGAAAGGTCATGCCGGTTGCGATGAATAGAGATGGTCGGATGTGCAGTGAATAAGCGGATGTGAACTGGACTGGAAGTTGACTCACGTGGAACGTAGCAACTCCCTGGTTTTGGTGCACTGTGAGGTGATGATCGACTCGAATTTGGCCGGCTCCAGTGGTTCATCCAAAGCTCGAATGCTATCCACCTGGACGAAACGGAGTTGTGCAAACCTGAAGGGAAAGTAAGAAACGCACAGCGAAATGCTTGGGCAGTTTGGTTACTTGTGTGTGTAAATGATGCTTAGGATCTAGGGTAGAGTTAAAGAAACAAGCTAGTGGCTGTGCGGCTAGCCGAAACTCTCGTAGCGATAACGCTGAAAGACGAATGATCCAATTTCGCCAAATTTGGGCGGCTGGTGCGCATGATCATTTATATTCGATGCTTTAAGATGTCAGCCAAGAAGATATGGTAGCTGTGTATCCTGACTAATACCAAGCTCCTCGGTGCAACTTGTATTTAAGATGTTCGTGTTGTCGATTAGAAGGCGTACAGTAGGGGGAAGATTAGAAGTGTAGTTCGTCGTATATTTCTCCAAGAATCGCAATAAAGTCTGGGTAGTGATAAAAATCTGTTATTCATAAAGCAAAGCACCGTTTGTATTGCCCATAAATGGGACGCTATTTAGTTGTAAAGGCTCTATATTGGTCACTTTTCATTTTCGTATCTTTCGCTACCTACCTACACTCATCGGTCCCTAATTACTGCTTGTTTCAATCCATTTCTGCTTAGTCTGCTTTGTTCACCTGAAGTCATGCTTGGGTGTGTCATTATTTCTCCTTCACCTCTCTCGCCAGCGCCAGTACGGTCAATTGGGATGGATGATACCTGATTTGCTTTCTCTTCACTAGCTGCCTGCCGCCACCATTTGAGCGGTGGTACACTGTCGCTATCATATTCATTCATATAGAAGACTGATGCAACACTACCATCGCTGATGCGCGTGATTCGTCTGTCCGCGGCTATTCCAGAAAACCAGGTTCGTTATTGTCCGAGTGTACAACCGCCCTAGGCTGAGCCAATCCGGAGTTCTACCTCTGGCTACTCCAACCGCGATCGGTTTGTGCTGGCGGCGAATGAGTTGTTTCCTGTCTGTCCACACTGCGTCAGTCACCTTCGCTCAAACTATCCAATAGTTAACAAAGTTGAAGAAACATTCGAGACTCAATAGGTTCGTTGAGTCCAAAAGCTAAGCTAAAGCAGTTAGTCCCCTTAATAATTTGAAAAACACAATGTGAACACGAAGATCAGCAGCTTCACGCATTTCATATCGTCTAATCAGTGTCGAAAATGATACCTGAAAATGAAATAAAACTCGTGATGCAAAAGCACAAACAAACGAAAGAAAAAAATGAAGATCACGTCTCTATATCCAAGACAAACTGAAGCTGACCAATATTTGCTTTTGAACACAAAGCTCTGGTTTAATCCGCGTTATCGCGACAGCTTCGGTGAAGTGGAGGAGACGAGAATTGGAATGTTGCAGCAGAATTTTGAACCAAGTGCTGGCCTCAATCCGGTGACCTGAGTTCAATAAATGCCTGTCAATCGAAAATGACAGTAGCCTGTGTCAGCGCGTAGCCTGAGCTGGGCATGCCCGTTGAGTTGGCTCTTGTTGGATGCACTTCGGAACGTGTTCCTTCTTCCGCGTCCACAAGGCCCTGTCGGTTCTGCCTAAGTAACTGGCTTTTCAGTTACATACCAATTGGTAAACACAATGGAAGTTCGGCCCGATAGGCTGAGTGGAAGTGAGGGCAAATTGTTGGTTCGGCCGAGGATGTTTACTTTGGTAGCCCCGAAAGTGCTCTGCGTGACCGCGATTATTCCTCTAGTAGTCTTCATTGCGGCAATGTCAGCCTTAAAGAAGAGCTCTAAGAATATGTCCTTGTTATGCATGGTGCGCACAAGCTCTTTATTTTGGTTGATTTGACTATGCTTTTTGATGAACCTACGAGGGTAGCCGTTTGCAAGTAGCGTACTGGTACTCAGTTCCAATTTATCCGCCAGACAATCGGTCGAGCATATTCGTCTAGCAGGACTAAATAAGGTCTTCATCAGCGTCTGTTTGTACCGCATTGGTGTAAAGCTGGCAAAATGCAGCAAGTGGTCGGACCACGTGGCTTTTCTGTAGACGGGCCTTTTCACCTGTCTGCTTACTCTGCGTCTGATGAGAACGTCCAAATAAGAGAGGCAGTTCTTCCGCTAAACTTCACAAGAGACCCTCAAGTTTATATGCGCAGCATTTATAAGTTCAAGTGGGACTGGAACAGTGGAAAATTCACTTTTATGTTCCTTCATGAAACCGTCTTTGATCCCGGCTACATATCGACGGTAATTTCGGCAATCTGAGAGGGCCAGAGCAACACGCATGAATCACACCATGGTCAAACAATTAATATCCACGTGACCTGCAATAGCAGTCCCTGCTGCGCCAGCCACGTGAAGTAGGAGTAAACATACGAAGTAACAAAAGGCGGAAATAATCGGAAATATAAAGGTAATAACAGTAACAATAGTTACGAGTAAAATTTAATATGTGAAAGGGAAACATTAGAACTGCGGCCCAAGGGCATCCAGTTTATGCTCAAACTTCTTCACTAGTTGTGATGAAACCACGTCCTCGGGTAATGCATTCCAGAAATCAGCTACTCTCCATGACAGGCGAAGGTTGGTCAAATCCCTATCGGATCTTGGTTTCCGCAACTTCATCGAATGATCACAGAGAGATGGTGGTAGAGTTGATCCAAAAAGCAAAGACATGTTAGAGCCAATCTTCCCTGACAGATTACGGTAAGTCAGAATAAAGTCGCCACGATATCGGCGATAGTGCGGTGAAAAGATTCCGAGCTTAAAGAGTTTATCTGGATAGGATAGGAGGTGTAGTTATTGAAACATTTCTGTGTCTATCCTAAGAACCCGCTCCCCAGACATACTATCACGAACCAAGCATGATGGACAAGCTTGGACGCATTATTCTAGGTGTGACCTACCGAAGGCCGGAAAGAGTCTGATAAACCTTTCTGGGTTAATAATTACGAACGACCTGCGGATCATCCACAGCATCCTGAAACCTTTGCCGACGGCCTTCTTCCAGTGCTCACTGAACTTGAAATCAGATGAAACAGCTACACCCAGGTCAACCTGCTGAGGTATCTCATGACCTTCAAGCAGCTAGCGTTTGAAGAGATCGCATGACGCTTGGCGCAGCACTGAACACTTGGCATTATTAATAGGTATTTGTCACAGAGTAGCTTAGTTCCAAAGTCTAGCAAGGACCTGTTGTAAATACTGGGGACCATCGAAGTTGGTCACTGGGGACCATCGAAGTTGGTCACTGGGGACCAGAATTTCAATTTATCGGCGAACATGAGGGACGGTAAGCCTAAAACTTCAAGCAAATCGTTTACACATAGGGAAAACAAGAGTGGTCCAAGAACCGATCCCTGTGGAACCCCACTAAGGACGGACTGTTAGCTTGCTATGCTTAAACCCACTTTGATGGACATCTCACGACCCTCAAAAAGAACCTCTATCCATCGAAGTACCTGCTCAGATATTCCATATGGGTACAGCTTTAATGAAAGGCAAGAATGCAAGACGGTATCAAATGCTATACCTAAGTCCATAAAAACAGCATCCACAGCGTGACCTACCGTTTGCGTGACAACAGTAAATTGATCAGGCAGGAATGGCCTTGACGAACACCATGTTGCAATGGACTGAGCAAACCAAATGTCTGGTTCTCAAGTTCATCTCTTATCACCTTCTCCAACAGTTTGACCAGAACGCTCGTCATACTCACACGTCTGTAATTCGTAGGTAAATGCTTGTCACCCTTATAAACACATGGAAGACAACAGCCTGCTTCTAATCCTTAGGCAAAGTACAACTCCGAAGCGGCGCCGCAAACAGACAAGTGTTGGGTCCAGAAAGTTCACTTGCCAGTTTTACAGAAGCTTAGGGTGAATAGTATCCCCACCGTCAGCTTTAGTAGGATTTATCTACCTCAAAAGAAGGAGAGCCTGAGTCTCAGACACAGGGATTTCGGTTAGTAATGAGACTTGTGGATTTCTCAAACCTAAATCAAGAAGCGACAAATTGGCCCCTTGGAAAAATGAATCGGCATACCGCTCGACGAGAACGCAAGCCTTGTCCTGATCCGTGTGCGTGGCAGTGTCATCGGCTCTGAGCAATACCGGTATGGACGGATTTAATTTACTACGTCTCATAACAGAAGAGTAGCCGCTCTGAATTAGTAAGGGCTGAAGTGGCCAGCTCCATTTTATAACGGAGCTGAACGGCTCGTATATGACATTTGCAAAGATTACACACTTCGTGGTCGTGCCCAAGAGTGTTATACCAGGGGGTCGACAAACAGGTGCGCCAACACCTGTCATGTCTGTTGAGCAATTTACGCGGAACTGAATCGAGCCATGGTGGCTTTGTCCTCAATCTCTCCTACCGACCGTAATGTGTTTGCGCAACCTGGTCGCTTTAGCTTAAACGACAGTTACGCTTATCTTGAGCAGGGTCCCTATTCACGCATGTATTCGGGTGACACGCTGTCTCGAAAAAGGACAACGACACGCACACAACCGGCGAACTTAAACACACACGCAATACACGGCTAGAGCAGCGCACAGTAGCAAGTGACCACCCGATCCCAACCACCCACAAGAGAAGACGAAGCAGACATCTGACAGTTCTTTCACAACCCACAAATGCCGAATCACAGTTGGCACAATGCTTTATTGCGTGGGTGAAATAAATCAACATGTACAGCTGGTGGTTTACGAAAGTATATTGTTCAGTTGTGCCCCGACTCCGAGTGGTTGTGTCCTGCTACGTTGTGGGCAGGAATGGAATTCTGCGTGTCACAGCCCACGCACTGGCGCTTGTGGTGCATTTTCGCGGGGCTACTTGCGTTTCCAATAACACCGACAAAGGGATGTGGGGAAGAGAAATGGCAGGGATGTATGATTTAAATCTATTCCAAGCTATCACTATATCCTCGTCAGGTGAAATGACGCAAAAGCTTTAGCTCTCATTGCACTAAAGTTAGCACGCCAGAAATATGAACTTTGTTGCTGAGCCCTTTGTAATCCCTAATAAAAGCGCAGTTGAATGACAGGCTAGCAGAGTCACTGGCTCCTAGGAGGAGGACTATAAACAA